GTGCCGCCCTAGCCAAGGTACACGGTGTCCAACAGCCGCACGCACCAGCCCCTTCGTCTGCCGGCTCAGGCCCTCCTCCGGACTGCGACCCAGTCGCGGGGTACTGTGCCAGTCGGCAGGTAGCGGATAACCCGTTCGCACCTTTAGCCGGCCAAGCCGATTGGTCACCAGTCGGTCACCTCAGCTCTCGACTCTGCAGTTCAGTCCCCAGCTCCCCCGACAAACAGCAGACTTGCCAGGTGTACAAAACGAAGGTAAATCTTTCGTTGGAAGATGGGCAGGTGCACCCGAGAATCGAGCACGAAAAGCGCAGGTAATCTTTCTTTTCCCCCACTTCCCGCTTCAGCGGTATAACGCCCGGCCCCAAATACGTATCCCCACCTCCTCTTTCTTTTCCTTCCGCTACACGTATCCGACGTGAAACTGCGCCAGGTACACTCCATCCCGTCTTCACTTTCGCGTGGTCTTTCCCTTCACTAACCCCGATCCTACAGGCGTACTACTAAAACTAACAGTGCCAGCATACTCGCCCTACCTAAAAATCGTACCCTTCCACTTTCGTTCACTCGACGCCGACACGGATCGAGCGAGCAACGTGTCTTTCCTCCCACCACAGCCACCCTTCCCGTCGCTCCTCCGCGCAGCACCATCTCCCGATAACCCAAAAACCAACCCCCTATCCCCAAATCTAACCTCGGGTTCGGGGTCGTCGGCCCCGAAAACCCTTAGTACAACTCCTTTCCTGCTAGATTCCGCTCAGTAACGAACAAGCTCGGCCTTCTTCCCCTCCATCTCCACTCCTTCCTCGTCGCGCGTGCACCCAACTCGGCTACCCGTCCGAGTTCAGACATGCCTACTAGTCCTTCCTTCCCGCAACCCGCCGCTCCTCCGGGTTGACGTCAACCGTGCCTTCGGCGTACTACGGTCCGACTCCGCATCAGTCCACAAGGCCCGATACAACGAGGTCGCGAGTGAGACAGATAGTAAAATCGGGACGACACCACGCTACCCTGCTTTATACCCTCCCTTCTTCGCACCGGGGCCACTCCCCTCCTCTCTACAACTCTAGTTCTAACGGTCGTCCCGAAGGCCCAACCGGGGCGATGCCCCCTCGACCCCTCGAGATCGGTGCGGCCACAATGTCGCTTTGTCTTAGTGCCCGGACCTGACCCGCATTTCAGGCACTGTGCATACCGGCCACGCGAATCTTTTTCATATCCGCCCGATTATGCTTCGGCGGCCCACCCATCTGCCCTTTCTCCTCCTCAGGCCGTTATTCCCTCTCCCGGGGTYCRATTGCRAAATAACCCGGTCACGGGTCACGTCCGGATACGCTGSCCRCCCCAACTCTTCGCAGAGGCCGTGTCAATCTTCTCTATATYGCTCCAAATTTAACAGATGTCCCAAAGGACTTCTGACCGTGGCCGCCCCCTCAGCACTTCCAAGGGCCATCTGGCCTCCCTTCCTTCCCTTCGCAAGCACCGGGCCCTACCATCGTCCGGGTTCATCCTCGGGCTACCCTGCACAGTGGCCAGGCGAGCCCTCCTCCGCGCCACTTTCTCTCCCCAGCGCTACCTCCCATCGGCGCGGCCGGAGCGCGCCGGAGCGACCGTCGAGATACGCAAACCAAGTGACAACCACGGGGTCCGGGTCATCCCCGGATTCACGCGCGTCAGCCCCTCGCGGCGGCCTGACGGATCCTTCTTACATCACCCCGACTTCTACCGATGCCCCATAGGACCTTTGCCACATCAACCCCCGCGGCCTCTCCTCCGTCACTATACGCGCCCCCCCCGCAAGTCTCTTAATAAAAGCTCTCCGCGGGTATACCCACCGCGGTCTCTTGCCCACATGCGGGTACCAAAAATACCTAGTAACAAGGATTCAAAATGGATACACTGAACATAAATGGATATGGAAGACTCGCGAGGGTGCGGTAGTCGGGCGGAAACTACGACCCTCATAACGGTGAAAAAAGGAAAAAGGGTAGGGAAAGGCGAGGGGGATAGTCCTACCGGCCCGTCAACCCCTCCAGCCTTTCTGCCACGCCTCTCCGCTCCCTCGCTGCCTGCTGCTCGCCTCGATCCCTGCACCTCCGCAGTAATAGCCCACTGTCGTAACCTATAGGGCTATGCCCAAGCCTGTGACCAACAGGCGCGGCTTCCCATATAAAAGGGTGTCGCGCGGTGCTCCGGGCCCGGATACCGCCCGGCCACCCTTTCGGCCCACAATTGTACCCACGGCCCCAAAGGTGTCCGCATCGGCCTACCACCTCACGCGGTGGCCGTCCCATATGCCTATCGGTGCGCCAGCCCCACCCTGGGCAGCGTGCACCGATCAAAGACAAACTCTCATTCCCTAATCAAGGTCGTAACATGGTCCGGGTCGGCCGGCTACCCCGACCGCCCATCAATCAGAAAAGTCACACACGCGCCTCAAAATTGCGCACCCACATACTCCCTATCGGGGCAAGGCAGACCTTTGCCCGCGTGTGGACGACCCTCGCATTTTCTCGCACGGGCTCTCAAAATCCCGGTTAACCGAACCTTCCTGTCACTTGCAAAAGACAGGGCGGATACCCTTGTAAGGGTATTCGCGCCGACAGCTTACCGGGCCATATTAAGCGACGTCCCCGTCGTGTCGCCAAATCAGAAAGCTATAAATCCACTCACACTCCAAATGTTGACGAGATTAGAACCAATCCGATTAGCCGACGGACTCAGGGTTGAGGCCTCCATCAAACCGTGCGAACACAACTATATGCCGCCAGGGTTTCAACCTGGGTTTCCATTGTCCCAACACCAGGACGCCGGTGTATTACGCATCAATACTACAGCATAAGTTCCAAAGACCCTCAAACCATCCTCTTCCCCTTTCGTCCTAGACAACTGCAGGCCTTTCATTGGGTGCCCCAGTTGGCCTGTTTCTCATAGACAGAGCCATAACTAGGGACGCGGGCTTTGAGTGGGACCTGTGAAGACATTTTTTGCCTTCTTCCAGCAAATTCCTCGCAATCAAACAAAATACACACATATAAGTTTGTAGCTTCCCTCGGCCTTTTCTGCAGTCTAATACAGAAACGTCATATCCCCACGTGGGCCCACCATAGCCTGGTTGATCGGGCCAGGTCTACGGCCCACCGCATTGTTACCTTAGCGGCAGTATCCTCCCATTGGTTATACAATGGTAAGTATATCCCTGATAATCAATCAATCAGGGCTTCCAAAAGACTCGACTCTTATCCCGCAAGGTAATTTCCCTGGGGCAGGCAACTCCCCTTAAACTCTTACCTCGCGGGCCCTTGGCCAGGTTGTGCCGGCTAGCAGCCATCCACTAGGGGTTGCGCCCATGTGGCACTAAACTTTACCGTTAGCTTGATATTCCCTCAAACATGTCTCAGAATTAGCATAGGTGGCCCGACGGGGCATCACAAACAATTCACAGCCGCTGCGGGACTACGCAGGGGTCTGAAGGCATTTACCGTCCAATAATAGGCACGGTATCCTTCGCTCAGTCACAAACAATTTCCTCGCCGGATCCACAAGGCCGCGGCTCCTGACTTGATCAGAGCCAGCAGTCGCCCACCCTGAGGCATCTCTCGCCCTTCTCAAACATTTCAAGCAAACATGGTCCCCTCCCGTCAGACTTTATCAGCACAGACAATGCTCTGCACACCATTCAATTTTTACTCACCCTTACTTGGTGAAGGATGCCTTTCACAAAAGATTTCTTGGCCATCCCTTTTTGTATGGGATGACTCCTCACACGACCTCTTCCAAAACCATGAAGGGGTCTCCACACAATATAATTCCCACCTCCCAGAATCATGAAGGGGGTCTTAGTTATCAAACAACTCAAATTGAGGGGCCACCTTCTGGGTCCCTATGCGATTTGGGCAACAATGGTTAGTATGACCAAACATGCAAATTCCTAAATCCATCAATCCCGTAGGATTCTCACAGTTTTTCACAAACAGGCTGCACTCCCCCTTCTTATACTCTGCCTTCTCGTCCGCTTGCAGCAGACCGCACGAGTATACCGGAGGGTAGACAACTTTACGATTTACACGATCATGCCTATGAGATGTATCCTGCACATCTCTCACATAAAGCCAAACACTCATTGGGATAAATCCACACATGTGAGAACGATAGTGATCGTCACAAGACAAGTCTCATAGGATCTCAACTCATAGTACACTCAGGGAGTAGAATGCCTCCCCCAACAATCGAATACAAACACTCAACTCAATACAACGGCTGTCTGGATAGGACTCATCACCCCACTGTACACTCATCAAGTACATTCAGGAACATAGCATCTGCCTAATCATCCACAGAATACCTAGCCCCTGTCCTCTCCTGATGGGAAAACTCACACCCCGAGTGCTATAAACTCCCAAATCCCATTCAGAGCAGCAATAGCTTCTGAGTCACAAAACCAAATGTAACTAAATGGTCTCATATATCGCACAACTGAGTCCTACCCCTGGGTCATAGCCCTCGAAGAAACTCAGGAGGGAACAAGCGAACAAAAGTCGAATGCATATGTACGATCGGATGGAAACTCACCCCACCACTCCTATGTACACACACATCTAGGGCCCGCTCGACTGACTCAAGATATGTACACCCCTAACCCCGCCCTGTGTGTGTCAAGGATCTCTAGTCCTAGCAATATATAGACAGGTCGGTCCCTACTTACATAATTCCTCCTGGTTCTGCCTATATAACTGAGCCCTGCCCCCATCTAGAGCTCGCTCCACTATCCTGCCCTGTCTGTCATAGAATTTGTCGTCGACCTCCGCAACTCGCCCCTCGGCCTTATCCTCAAGGAGCTCTGGACAGTCCACGACTCTATGCCCTCCCTCCTTGCACCAGAAACATGAGGTATCATGCCACCTAGTAGTCTTCCTCTTTCTCCCTTGCGAACTGGATGCCGAAGGCGCCCCTATGGTCCCAGTAGTCACCTCCTGACACGAGGGCAACCCCACATGGCCCTGAGGTCCAGGCTCCATAGCCTCAGCACCCTCACCCCCTCGTGCAGCCGCACTCTGGCGTGTCCAACTCTCGGGGTCCCTCCTCATGCGCCCTCTCTGTCATCATCGCCTCATCCCTACATACTTCTGACGGCTGAGAGCCCCCCATAGCGGCGGGCTCACTCATGCCCTCCTGCTGCTGTTGTCGTCGCGAGTCAGGCCCTCCTGAGTCTGCCCCCATGGCCCAGGAGCCCAGCTCCCCCCTCAACTCTCCCAACCTCGGGGCATGCTCTGGAGCGTCAAGTCCCTGAGGCCCCTCCTGTGGAGTGCCTATCCCCATGGCTGCCGCTAGCTTATGCAGGCGCGAACCTCTCCTCTTCGTGGACATAGCCATAAGCGACTCCTGCGCGCCACTCTCCTCCTCGACTGCGTCCAAGGACGCCTTCTCCATCGGCTCAGCCTGACGAGGGACCTCCACTGCTACTCTCTGATTCGGCGACGCGTGCCTCCCACGGCCCTCGCCATCGGCACCGGCTCGCCCCATCTGGCTAGCCTCCCAGGCTACCGAGAGCCTATCCACAGCGGCCGCCATCTCCCCAAATCTCCTCTCCCACTCAACCTCCCTAGCCTGACTCCTCGCCCTCTCCTCGGCAAGCTGAGTAGTCAGGTGCTCTATCTCCAACTCTTTGACCCGGAGCTCATTGCTGAGTAGATTATACCACTGGAAAGATGTGACTGTCGTCTCGCATACCCTCCGATCCATGCGCTCAATCGCCATCCTGGTCGCAGAAAATCCCGCGTCTCCCATCTCCCTCAACTCACTCGTCTCCTCGCCTGTCCGTCCTGCCTCTCGTGACCTCTGGCGGGCAGCATCCCTCTGGCTCTCATACCTAACCCACAACTCGTCGATCCTCTGCTCGCTCGTCTTGGGCTCGACTGGCGGTGTCGGCTCTATCCCTGCCGCCTCCATCTCGGTCTGTTTCGCGTGTATTTCGTCCAGACGGACTTGCACTCGGGCGTACTTTTCTTGGCGGGTTTCTCTTGGGGCTCTTCCTGCTCGCGGCCCCTGACCTTCTGGAGTCGTCGCCTCAGCCCCCATCCTTTCGCTCGCGCACGACACTACTGGCGGTAACTCCACTGGAGCGGGCTCCTCGATAACCGGACTCTCGATCACGTGCGTGGACAATGGTAAGTCAGGGGGCGCCTCCATCCTCGCTCTCTCACACACTCCCTAACCCTTCGCCTCTGCCTCCTGCTCAGGCGAAATGGCGGCCGCAGGAGGAGACTCCGAAATCTCCTCGCTGCCCGGCTCAGGAATCCCCTCTGGCCATGAATGTTGTACTGGCTCTGGAACTGGGGAACATGGGGGGGTATCGTCTCCGACCATGATCACCTCCCCACCCTGAGGTCGTACCGGATCCGGTCGCCCAGCTGCCATCTCAGGGTCCTGTGGCTCCTCTCGGTCCCGCATGCCCATCTCCGTCTCGACGTCCAAAGGCTCCTCCAACGGCACATAGCGTGACGGCTCAGCTGAGCCCTCCCCCAATCGTGAGGCCTCCCACTGAGATGCATCCAGATGAGTCGCTAAGCTTCTGAATGGTGTCTCTCTTGGTATGTCCAACTCCTGTGTCGATGGCAATGGTGAAGGCGGTCTCAGATCCCCGCTCGTGATCCGCCGAAACTCAACTGCTCGGAGGCCATAAGCAGGGAATGACTCTTCTGCCAATGCGGGCCCTGCGGGCTCATCCCCCTGTCGTGCTGAGGCTCTCCTCTTCTCTCTAACCTGCCCCACCTCTCTCGGTGCCGGTTCCCTCGGTCTCTTGCTTCGCCGTCGCCTCTCAACCCTGGGCTCGTGCCCCTCGTGCTATGTTCGTCCGAACGCCCTCCTGAGCTGGGCCTGACAGTCCTCCCAGTCGCGAGCCTTCTCCTGAATCTGCTTGGTCACCTGCTTCTCTGCCTGCCTCGTCCAGATAAGTAGGGCCTGCACCCACTCCTCCTGCGCAACCCCCAAACTCAACATGTAGTGCTCATATGCGGGGATGAATTCATCGGTGTTCCCCTCCTCCAATCGAATGGGCATGCCATCGCGCCCCCCGGGGAAAGCCCTTAACCTTTGCATCCCGGCCTCCACATCTGGCCAAGTCAGGGCCTCTTCACATATCTGAGCGACGGGCTCCTCGAACCGCCCTATACCCCTCAAGTGGTGAATCCTCTCCGCCACTGACCACCCCCTCTGTGTCGCATGGTCCCGATATACGTCCAAGAAGAGCTCAATGTTGTCATCATCGAACTCAGGCGTAGGCTCCCTCCTAGGCGGCTCATGCTGCTCGTCCCTTCCCTCCATCCTCTGGGGCCCCTGGCGTGGCCGTGTGTCCCTCCCGCCCCTCTGCATGACTGCCTTCGAAAGGTCAGACATACACAACAGGCGAGAGACAACAAACAGACACACAGCAGGGTCAGCAACTGGGCCATTGGCCTAGGGAAATCCCACATACTCTCCACACCCATCCGCCCCAATCATCCACCTATCTAAGCACCTGACCTGGGTAAAGCCTAGGCAAGACTCTATTCCTAACGAGGTCTCATGGCCCCTTACCTATTCCCTGGCCACGAACTTCTTTAGTCTTGTCCCTGATACCCAGTCCTGCCATCCTGCACCATCAAGCTCCTCGATTTGGTAGGCCCCAAACTCGCCACATCGCACGATTCTATAGGGTCCCAGCCATCGTTTGTCGAGTTTCCTAGACCATTGCTTTTCCAACGAGGAGTCATACAGCAGCACCACATCTCCGACCTTCAGCGGATCCTTCCTTATTCGGGTCATCTGGTCCCATCTCATCTTCTCCTCCATACGACTTCTTTCCACCTGACCAGCGGCCTCTCTCAGCCTTTCTTCTGCGGCCCCCACCTGCCGCGCCCGTATATCGAGCAGCTCCTCAAAGGACAGGTTCACTTCCAGATGCTGGCGCCTCCACGTCTTCATGAAGCTTTCTATGGGAAAGGTGGCATGCCTTTCGTACCATAGCGTGACTGGCGCATACTTAGTAGTCCTTTTCACTGTAACATTTTCCACGAAGAATGCTGCTCTCAGGAATTTCGGCCATTCGTTAGGCTTCCCTTCCGTCCATTTGGCCAGGAGATTCGTGATGGTACTATGCCCCCTCTTCACAGGCGCGTTTGCCTGGGGGTGCGCGGCAGTAGTGTAATTTGCTACCACGCCATACCCTGCAAGCAAGGTCCGCACCTCGTTACAAGTGAACTCCGACCCCCGGTCCATCACAAACTCTCTGACAAATGGATAGCGCAGGTAGTATTCTTTGATGCACCTCGCTAAAACTGGGCCAGTTTTCGTACGAATAGCCTGGCCGTCCACAAACCCGGTAAGGTTGTCCCGCGCGTCGAAGATATAGTTACTTTCATCCTCCCCGAGGGGCATGAACAATAAGTCCAAGTGTACGACTGCACCCACTTCCCTTTCCAACCTGGGGTGCAGAGGCTCCCCAGGCCTTTGTGTCAACCTCTGTTGGCAAGGTACACAGGACTGACAGTACTTGATGACCATAGTCAGCATTCCATCCCAATGGTATAGCTCACTTATCTTTGCGCACGTGGCACTAACCCCTTTGTGCCCCCCTGCTATACCATCGTGCAAGGCTGCTATGACATCGATCTGTCGGTTTCTCCCACATACAATCCTCCTTGGGTTCCCAACTTGTCGCTTTATGAACAGATGACCATATCTTACCACATAGAGATGCCTCATCTTCTGGGCTTTGGCACTTGCATCCCTATCCCTCATTTCGCACGACAGGAGTAACCCCAACTCCCGATAAATTCCGTCATACTCCTCAGCACGGAAGACCTCCCTAATCTCTCCCTCTTCGAACTCGTCGTCCTGGCTTTCAGGAATGAGAAGTTCGCCCTCCTCCGAGCTGGTTGCGCTCCTCTGATCAAACTTCCCTTGCAGGAGTGTGTTGGTGAGCAAGTATATTCCTCCCATTAGCTGCTCATGCTCCTTTTCCTGGGTCGGGCCTTCCTCTATCGTCCTTACCTCCTCCGCTAGGCTATGTGTCCCTGCCAATGCCAACCTCATCATCCAGGCAACATCCCTACTCCCCCACGGATCTTCTTCCTGGAAGGGCTTGAGGACCAACTCCTCTTTCTGCTCATACCCCCTTGGTGCTAGCCATATAGGATGCGTGACGCAGCTCGGCACCCTCAGCGACCACTCATTTATGTGGAGGCGGACGTCCTCCTCCTGGTCCAAGAACCCATCAACTAGTGGGGTATCCTCAATTGATTCTTGATTTGCGCCGTCCCAGTTGGTACGGCTCAATCCATCTGCCCTGTTCTTGTCCCCGGGAATCCTCTCCAACTCAAAGTTAAACATCCAAATGTAAGTCAACCACCTCGCGATGGTTGGGTCAGATGGAGTGTAACTTTTCAGGGAACACGCCAGTGCGGTAGGGTCCACCCTCAAAATGAGCCTCGTGCCAAAGATGTAGTTCCGGAAGGTCCTTAGGCAATGGAGTACCGCCAACGTCTCCTTCTTAAACTGGGAGTAATTTCTCTCAGTCGTATTGAGGGTGCGACTTTCAAACCTTAACGGCCTCTCCTTCCCATCCGCATCTGCCTGAATCAGGACCCCTCATAGGGCAGTTGGCCCAGCGTCTGTCTCGACAATGAATGGCTTCTCCTCCGTAGCCTCATAGTTTGGCACTCCCAACACCAAACCCTCTTCCTTGAATTCTCTCTGCATCCCTTCCACAACCTTTTCCTGGTCTTCGCCCCAGACCCATTCCTGATCCTGACGCACCAGCTTCCTTAACTGCTCCGTCTTGGTGGCGAAGTCCTTCACAAAACTCCTCCAAAACCCGCAGGTCCCAAGGAAGCTCCTCACGTCCGTTATCGACTGGAAGGGGACTGGCCACTCCCGGATCTTGTCCGTCTTTTTCACATCTGGCCTCCGCCCCTTCTCGTTGCAGACAAAGCCCAGAATTGTGGCCTCCCTCATGCAATGCTTCGACTTGGGGCCGCTCGCCGTCAGGTTGTGCTCTTCCAGCAGGCCCAGAACCTGATCGATATCCCGGACGTGCTTCCAGACAAACCGTCTCACTCCTGGCATCACTTCGTCTTCCTCCTTCTCCTTTGGGTCCTTGACCGCCAAATCGTCAATGTAGGGCTGAGTGATATGTGGACTAACCATCTGCATGACCCTAATCATGTGCCTTTGCACCATTGCCACCGCATTAGTCCACCCCTGAGGTGCCACGTTCATGTGGATCAGCCCCCTTGGCCTATGCATCGCCGTCACCGGCCTATCCGGTGGGTACACAGGAAACTGGTCATACCCAGAATAAAGGTCTATAAGTGAGATTATAGGCCTCCCCGCGCATGACTCTGACAGGGCGTCTGCGTTCGGCAATCCTCCCGCGTCCCGCACCGTCACTGCATTCAATCGTTGCAGATCCTGCACCCACCGCAACGTTCCATTCGGCTTGATAAAACAAAACCAGGGGGAAGCATATGGTCCACTGGAGTAATCCGCCACGTACGTCCTCATCTTCCCATCCAAGTAATCCACCACCCTCTTTTCCTTATCCGGATTCGGGTACCGCGCGCCCCTCAGGTTCCACGGCTCGTGTGAGACGATATGGATTCGTATCATTGGGATCTTATCCACGTCCAACCTCCCACGCTCGTCATCATTAAACGCATACGCGCAATGCCTCCTCTTCATGGTCTCCACCATCAAGGCCCGTTCCTGGGGAGAAAGGAAGCCAGACTCGTCAATTATCAGCCCTTCCTCATTCTCATCATTGATGCGGGACGGCCCTACCTGCGCATGCTCCCGCATACGCTTTATCAGCCCCCGCTCTCGCTCATAGTAGGCTTCCTCATCCTCTGTGACAAGCACGGGGACTGGGCGACACTTCTTGTCTATGGTCTTGTACCGCCTTTGGGAACCCTGCTTAAGCCGTCCCCTAAAAAAGGCCGACTTGTCGTTCGGGCCTGGGCCATCGCAGGGTCCCCCCTCCTTCCTGGGAGCCAGTATATCAACTCCACCTCTCCCGCCTGAGGGCTTTCTAGGACCTGCTCTCTCAACGCCTTTATGGCCTCGGGGTCTACCATATCATGTGCCGCCACCACCTCCATTGCCTTATTCACATCGTTAAGGCTCAAGGACAACACCTCGCCTGCTCCTTCCTCCTCCTGCTCCTCCCGGAGTCTCCGTCGCGCGTACTCAGACTCCTCAAAGGTAAAGGAGCCGAGGTTGAGCCTGTTCCTTCCGCTTTCGGGCCCTGTGTTCCGGCACTTGATGATTTCATAGTTTCCGCAAGCCGGATCAGATAGAGCCAGGATCATCGTCCCTTCATGCCTGTTGAAGACCAGGGTCTCCGTTCGGCAGAGGAACGACCTCCCCAGAAGAATAGGGTGGTCGACGTCGGGCATGACGAAGAAGCACGTCCGCGCCCTTACTCTCCCAATCTCTACCATCACATTAGACGCGGTGCCGCAAAAAATGGCCTTGCAGTTGGCGCCATGCAACACGCCATGGTCCGAATGGTCAACTTCCAACCCTAACATCGCCGCGTCCCGCTCCCGGATGATATTCATCTCCACGCCCGTGTCCACCATTGCAATGCTCGGCCGGTCCCTCACCTTCAAGTCCACCAACCCACACGCCACACATTTTCAATCCATCATGGTGCCCGCCTCTGTCCACTCTATCTCCCTGGACAGAATTGAGCTCAGGTGGACATTGGGCACTAACCTTCGCGAGAGCCGCCCTTTCAGCTCGCCCCAGAGCCTTGGTGCTAAGGCCAAAATGTCCTTTAAGTTCATCAGATCGTTATCGCCCTCCAGGAGCTTATCCACCATTCGCTCCACGTCAAAGTCTTCCTCCAGCCGGACTGCATACTTCTTCCTTTTGGCACGCCGTTATGTAGACTCGGCTCCGCCCCTCCCTGAGCCCCTCTTTTCTTGGCCCTCTGTTCCGCCCTCCGGTCCTCCTCCTGCCGGAGCCTCTCGTCCTCTTCGTCATCACCCTCATCTTCCTCTTCTTGGACCTCTACCACTTCCTTCCTTCGTTCGGGCTCAGGGTCCTTTCGAGGGGGCGCCCGACTCGGTGGCTGGCTAGGCCCTTGACTGGTGGTAGCCTTACTTTGGCCCCTGGTCTACGCGGCCTGTGGTACCATTCCATGCAACGTAGGGGGTCTGAAGGTCATTCCTGACCTAGGACCTTCCCCGACCGTCGCCACGCTTGGACATCCTTGCGGTCCTGATGACGACTCCGGACCTGACCCATAGAGCATCACCTCGGGAAGGCTCATTTCCCATTCCCGGGCCTTTTCACACATTGCCCTTAGTCGTTCCTGATACCTGTCGACCTTTGCAAGCAGGTCCTCCATCCTCTCCAGGATGGTCGAGGCTGATTCTCCCACCACTTCCTCGGCCTCTTCGTCGGACTCAACAACTATGGGCTCCTCCTTTATGGCCCCCGCCTTCAACCGCTGAGTCACTTCCTCATTTTCACCCACAATCTCCTTGACTCTTATGCCGGGGTCTTGCCTTTCCTGCCATATCCTGAACATTGCTGGGGCCGCTGGAGGCCCTGCCGTTGCCCGCCTGAGGGCTTCCTGCCTGATTCCTCCCGGGGTCTTGGGATCAATGTGCTTTCCCCACCGGTCGTATATATCCCTGTCCATACAGGTGGAGATTAGCCCTGCCAGCTCATCGTCCCGCCGTTGATGGCAAAATCGTACGGTGTGGCCCACCTCGCCGCAATGCCAACAAGTCGCGTTCCGCCAGTCAAAGCAGGGCCTCCCATACCCCTGGCCTCCTCCCTGGCTGCCTTGGCTACCTTGGTTCTGACCCCCTTTACCATTCCAGCCTCCTCCACGACCTCCATCATTCCCTCCTTGCCCCCGGCCGCCCCTCCTCTACCCCCTGGGCCCCGGCCCCCATTGCCCTGCCCGCCTTGTCCTTGGCCCCCTCCCCCGGCCACACAAGTTTGCGAGGCCTGCTGGGAGGGCGACGGTTGGGCCACGGGCTGGCTTTGGGTCGCCGAGTAGCTTGGGGGCCCCATACTTGCTGATGGGCCTGAATAGGGGACCATGTGTCCCGCGTGAACCTGACTCCCTCCACACGAGACACAGTGGTTACAACTGGGCCAGGGCGCAGACTGACAATGTGGCACCCAGTGCCCGCAAGTTGGTGGCTGCCTCATGTGCGATGGTCCTGCTGATGCTGGCGCGGTCGCGGCGACAGGCGGTGGTGCGGCAATGGCTTGGGGAGCCTGTCCCTTCCCTGACCCCTGCCCTCCCTGCAGCAAATTGCGCTGCTTCCTCTGGGCCTTAGTCAGGACCTGGGAGCCTGTCTCCCCTTCGCCGCAGTCTTCTTGCCCAGCCTCCTCGTCTATTGCCCCTTACGCCCGGCCTTGGGCCAATGGCACCCCTCTTTTCTGTATCTCTGCTTCGTTATCATACCCCAGCGCCGCCAACACGTCCGTGACAATTCTCTTTACCCCTGGGGTCCCAGATGCGGTAGCATCCCTCTCCTTCCTCTTRCGCCTTTGCAGCCTCATTTGGTGCTGCTCCACCTGGTCTAGACTCCCTTCTTCCACTCCCTTGTCAATGGTTGCCCAGGTGAGCCTCTCGCTCCCTTTCCCATACTTGGTCAGCTCTGTGGCTTCCGAGCCCGTGAGCAGCCCCAAAAATGTGGCGCAYTGCGCCTCCTCAGAAATCCCGTGCACTTTCCTCGCCTTTTTCTTAAATTCGTGCACAAACACCCCAATGGTGAAGAAATCTTCCTTATTCATGGCCTCCAAGTCGGTCATGGTCAACAGGCCGTCCCCCAGCCTGTACTTCCTTCGCATTAGATCCCCAAACTTTGCCCAACTGCCCCCGACGGCATCCACGACCTTAGTTACTTCCCGATGGTGGCTATGCAGGACATACCTCAGGACCCACTGGAGCTTAACCTCATCTGACAGTCCCACCAGCGCCTGTTCTGTCAGATCCAACAAGTCGGACACCTTGTCCCCCTTGAAGTGAAAAGTCTCGACCTTTGGGACATTGCTCGGCGCCCTTTCGCGCTTGTCCAGGGCATCGATGAGGTCATCGAGAGTCACGAGCTTCCTCCCACCGTCCGCCATCCCTTCTGGCATCTTGACCAACCACCTTCGACTTCAATCTTCCTGTTATAAGAGACGATGGGACAGAGGACCCCCACTTAGCGACTCAACCTTTCATGACCCTATCGGGTTGACCACCTTGAACACCCCACACTCTAGACCTGACAGGCATTCCTTCCCCTATTTCCCTTGGGCTTACCTAGATAACGCTTATCCTCACCATAGGACTTCCTCACACACTTACTTCATTCAAACTATCAACCAAGCCGCCAATCAATCAATCATCCAAGCCATAGTCATATAGATCACCTTACATACATCTAATAGTCCTTCTCTTATTCACTCATATGCCTAGTTTCTCGCTTTATCCCATACCCGGATGTCGTTCCACAACGGTAGGCTTCCGTCATCCCCGGCAACGGCGCCACCTATCGAGCGCATCGGCCCGGCACCGCATGCGGCGGCGCGGGACCCTCTCGGCCGCGTCACGCAGAAGTTAGATCAGCCTCGACATAACACGCAAATGGAGCTTCCTTAGGCCGCTCTGGCCGAGTGCGTTAGCCATACCTCTCGCGAGCCCCTACGACAGGATAGGGCCTACGCGAGGCACAACTTACCTCCACCTTACGGGAGTTGTCACCTCCCTTTGGTGGGCGTATCCCCGCCGAGCTACCAGTCCACAATACGAAAGCTGATCAGTTGCAATCGCAGAGGTGGACCAGCCAATGGCGTTTCTCATTTGCTGTAGCATAGGGGGTACGCGCGGTAATACGCCTATCAGACCCGCACGTGAACCGACACCTTGGGGGGCTGAAGTCCCAAGCGCGGCTCGTCATCAGCCAACTAGGACGCATCCCACACGCCACGCGCACACCACTCTAAGAACACACCAAAAGGACACACGCGCACGCACGCACATACAACACGCCACAACACAAACAAACGCGGGCACTACCCGAACAACGCGACAATGCTCCTAGCCCCTCGGTAGCCGTCCCATAACTTCCCAATACGGAAATCGAGTGGGCGCCGCGCGCGAGACTTAATATAAAATCGCGCGGACGCAGAGCTAACTCATACCGACTCGCAATGCAAGCGTGCGCAAGCGGTCGCAATGATGGCGTACCATGTAGTACCCATACTCACACGGTCCTCGTTATTCTCGAGGGTCGCGTTCGACACTCAAGTGTTGGCTGACACGCGCCTAGAGGGTTAATCTCTCGACGCTGGACAACCGCCATGCGCGGTTGAAGACCACACACCCTCTTCTGCACCCTTATGCAGAGTGGGTGGTACACAGGCCCATGCCTGTGGTGGTAGTCGTCTCTCGCGGCCCTAGGGGTGAGTCCTCCCCGGGGCCTGGGCGAAAGTCAAGGGGTTTGACTTTGACGGCTGCCACGGACTACAACGTCCAACCATAAAAATCTTTAAGGAGCAACAAGACTCGCACGAATCCAAGAAGAGGGGATAGGGCAAAGGTCTCCTGGCCCTTGAAACAAAAACTCATGGCCTTGGGGCACACTTCCCCTCTACGGGCTGTGTCGGCGGCCTATAATAATCCCATGCGCTGCGCCTACGCGCAAGCCCGGCGGTCCCATAACCTTTAGACGCCGGGGCGGCGAGGCGTCGCGTGTAGGGCTCTGATATAAAGCTACGCGGCCGCAGACCAACCCTATGCCAACCACTGATGCCAATTATATATGGTGACCGCGGCTTAGGCCTCGCGATATTGAATGGCTGAAGGAACTCATCGCGGGGGGCTACCCCTCACGATATTGAACGGCTGAAGGATACGTCGTTCGGCCCTCGCGACTTTTCCGCCCTTCAGTTGGAGTGTCCCGCCGGCCAAAGTTAATAGGCTTTATACAAGGGGAGACTCCTCCTCTTCAGGGCCTAGGGCTTGGGATGTCCTGGACAAGGACCTCGAATCCCGGCCCAGGACCAACGTCCGACTAGGAAAGCCCCAAGACGCAAATAGGCAGAAGGGAGGGTCTTCCCTGTCTCTCAATCCGAACTTCCACGCGGTTATTAACACAGCCCTTTGGGCCCCTCGAATACCCATCGTACGTATACCCACGCATACATGCAAAAGGGGATAGAGTTATGACGATCACTTCTCACAGGCACAGTGGGACTCCTCACAGCCATGTATATGCATATGGGATCGCAGGCAGTCCAAATCCAAAATCCGAGCCACATGACATACCTGCAACCGCACCAAGAATCAAGCGACAAAGCACGCACTACACGGAGTCAACCCCAACCATTCTCTATGCTCATACCCATTTGCTATAGCCATGCAAGCCCCAATCGTCGATCCAACCAACCTCAATTAAATACTCAGTACCTTTGTCAAATGTCCATTCAATAAAAGTCCGGGTGAAACCCTTAACAAACAGTAAAACCATCAGGGCTAAAGCCTTTTAGGTTGAGTGTGGAGAGTAGGTTGGAATTGAGTCGAAGACCGACGAACCGGCAACCGACCTGTTATCAATGATAACAGAGGACGATCCTCGTAGGATCAAGCCGGAACTAGTCCAAATCCTGAATTAAATCGATCAAGATGGTCTGTACCACAAGACAGGTCAATCCCCAGGCTAAACCGATGAGTCCATGGAGAATAATCCCCATATCACGATCCCGCTCAAATCCTCTTAATTACCTAAGCCCGAATCTACCTATAAGTCGTGCCAAAGCAAAGGTAGACCCCGACATAATCTCCCCTATTCAAGGTGGACTGTCAGAATCGCCATCTGTCAAAATATAATTTAACTCCTCTAAATCGAGAAAATTTCGGCAGCGTTTCCCGTAGGAAAAGTGTCTTTCCAAAGTTTATATCAGCCCAAATATGCAAGCAGAAACAGCCCTTGGCTGTCTAAGGTCCAATTTTGTCTGTCTTCCTAAATTAGCAAAAAATTGGGCAGCACTCCTTTTAGACAGGGAGACTTCCAAGATTTATACTAAGTGAGATGTGAACTCAAAAGACAACTTGAGTTCAACTTAGACAAGATTTTCCTAACTCCTTAGTTTTGTAGAAATTTTGGCAGCATTCCCTTCAGAAAAGTGTTATTCCAAAATTTATACAAAGCTAAGTCTAGGACCTAAAAATAACTTTGACTTCTCAAAGTCCAATCGTGTCTAACTCCCTGAATTAGCAAAAATTTGGGCAACACTCCCTTTAGAAAATGAACTTTGACAAGTCAAAAGTTGACTAACTCCTTGGATTTGTAGAAATTTCGGCAGCGCTTCCCGTAGAGAAAGTAGCCTCCCAAGATTTATACAAGGCCAAGTATAACAACAGATCCCAAAAAATGTGAGAATTGATATAAGTAAAAAAAAATCAGCTCAGAAAATGCAGGAATTGACCTAGCTCCTATCGCTCTAGCACGTAGCGAGCCTCTAAGCAACTACCTGTCAACCTTAAACCCAGACCAAGTAGTAACCTTACTCAGCCACATACAGCCACATGCAGGCCAAACCACAAGGGTAAGTACTTTCACCACTCCCAAGCCAATTTGAACAAACAATAGTTCATAATCTCTCAGTGAGTTATCCCCTCATACCCAACTTACGTAAGGCATAGGTCAGGGCACCTGAACTTTCAGAGCGCACCCAACTTGGTCGGGCCTAAAGTCAGAATACCTAAACTTATAGAGCCTTCTGACTCGGCCAAGTATACACAAACAGAGGGCACAACTACTTCTATCTTCTTTGGGCATATGACTAGACCACTCTAGTCGCCCTGAACTGTTTAAATAGCCAAGTTATATATATCTCTCTGAACTTAGTCTTCAACGGGGCATAAGGCTGAGCCGCTCAACTTAGGACATTGATCAGCCTGCCCACAGTTACTCTCAATTATATCTCTTAATTATACTCTCTTTTGTTATGATAAGTTGTAGTCAGGTTATCTAAACTTATAGAGCGGTCTGACCAGCCTGTTCGTAATAACATAGTAATACAATATAGCCAAATTATATTCATTGGGTTCCAACATGTGCGAGGCATTGGACCAGGCTACCTAAACTTATAGAGCGACCCGATCCTCTGCCTGGTTCCTTTCTCTCTGATCCAATCTGTGCGAGGCAGTGCGACAGACTACCTAAACTTATAGAGTGGTCTGTCCCCTGCCAAAATTATTCCCTCATAACAAAACAGGAGAAGGGTTGAACCACATAAACTTATAGAGCGGTTCAGACCTTCTCATTCAGAATCGAAGAAACTGAGAGTCCCTAAACAAAACGAGGCAACCCAAGGTACCTAAACTTATAGAGCGTCTTGGGTCCCTAAAAGTCACTCACAGTCAAACTCCCACAAGTCAGACCAGTCAGGATACCTAAACTTATAGAGCGTCCTGACCCTCCACGCAATTCATAGCACCAGGTCTCCCCAAACTTATGGGGACGTCCCAGCCTCCAGAGCTTCAGGCTACCTAAACTTATAGAGCGGCCTGAGGCTCCATGCAAACCAAAAATAAACAAAGCGTTGGGCTTCCCCAAACTTAAGGGGACCTCCCAGCCTTAATGACCCAGTCAAGCTGCACACAATACTGCCTTCCTCCCAACCTTCCCCCAGGTGCAACCCATCTCATTCATAGTCTGCTTTCAGGCAATCAACAAACCTGAAACTGGGATTGCACACACACTCCTTTACTTTAGTCTGACTTAAGTCCTGACAATCAAACCAAAATCAGAGTACAGGATCCACACAATACGCTCAGTCAAACGTAGAGAGATGTACAGGGAGGGGTTATAGTCAAGGGATTACCACTCAGTTCCCTGCCTCCAGGACTCCGCCTGAGTCTCGACAGAGCTCCCACAATCGGTGGGGCAACCTCCCACGGAGACCTTGGCGCGGATTACGGGCCACACACCCGCCTGCCGCCTTCCTCTCAGAACCAAGGGAACAGACTTAGAGTAAGGAGGGCAGGATGAGAAGGAGTAAGACTCTCAGACTCAGGAAGGATACACTCAGACTCACGCGAGAGGGCCTTCGATCCTTCAACGCCTGAGGGCCTCGCAATGGCGGCCAAGGCAAACGCAGCAGCTTTATCCAGTGCAGTTAGTTGTCGGCCACTAATTCTCCTAACGATCTC